TTTGTAATTTTCCTTATAGGAGTTGTTTGTTATTAGAGTTTAACAGTTTTATTTACTTTTGGTCAAAAAGGTTGCAGACCCCTGGGCTAGTATCACAGAGCAGCACACTGGGTTCACATGGATGTTTCCTCCTGCACTTTCGTTCTTGTGACAACAGGGCATGTTTGGTTTTCTCTTTGAGGGAAATAGTTTTTTTGAAGCTGTTGGCCTGTGGAAAAATGTAATCATAAGAAATGACTCTGCAGATAGAGCCATAAGAAATGAATTCAACTGATTATTTAAAGTTACATTTTGTTTTTATAGGCAATAATTTAAGCTTTGTTAGTTCCAGGTTTAATATGTGCAATAAGTTCATTTCAATAAGTTCTGCAATAAACATTGAACCAGTCCGGCCCTCGACTAGTACCCATTTTTTAACTTTTGGCCCACTGTGTATTTGAGTTGGACACCCCTGATCTAACGGATGATACTTGTACAACTGTCATATAATAAATATATATATATATATATATAAACTATTTGACTCCAAATAAAGATTTAAAGAAAAAAGAAAGGCCATGTAAAGTATTTAAAGTATTAAGATGTTACATCCAAAGACAGAATAATAAAAACCATAATGCAGAAACCATGCGACTTGCAGCAATGGAATGCGTGTCGTCCACACACTGAAGCTTTACTCACTTGTCGAAGTTGATGAGCGACAGCACCACCTCTCTGGGCGCAGGTCCGCTCCAGTGCAGGCTGTAGCTCTTGCTCATCATCAGGATGGGCTGGTACTGCTGAGACAGCGCCCCCTGGCTGTTGATCCCCCTCAGAACCAGAGGGGCAGCTGGGTATTCATCTCTGCTGATGGATAGGATCAGGTTAGGGGATCCCTGGGTCTGGATGTACACCTGGGAGAGGAAGCGGAGGAAAGGTCAGTGTCCTATCTAATAGTATTCACATCAATTATTCATTCATATTCAAACTTTAGACATATTTCGTCCTTTACATGTTATGAATCATTTAAGTAGGTCTTAGGTGAACTATCTCTCCACGTGTTGCTGCTCATGAATTTCCATCAAAGTCAGGAAGAGTGAATATTTAACATGAGAAGGACAGAGGGATAATAAGGAGGTGTAGACCCTGCCGTGCTGTACCTGAGAGTAGCGTCCGCTGCAGATCACTCCGCTCCACTGAGGCACGTTCACGCAGCCAGGATGTTGGATCAGGTAATTGTCTGCTCGGCCGGCGTAGGTGTCGGTGTAGCCCGTCACGGAGCCGTCCACGTCGTGAAAGATGGAGTTTTTATCCCCGTCCAGGTCGTTCTCTTCAAACCACTGCCCCGGGCGGCCGAAGAACGTCTGCAGACCCACCTGAGGGTGATATTTGCAAAGAGTGTTATGGACGCAACTATATTTCTTTTAACACGAGGCATCCATTTTGTAAGGATGAGTTTAACAATGACAATATGGATTAGTTAAACATTTAAATTAGATAGACTCAAAATGAATTGCAAAAGGGGATTAAGAAGCTGTCCTTTAACTTCGTTTGGAAGGAAATGCTGATTGCACAATGTAATGGCTACAGAAAATGACACCATCAGTGTTTATAGTGGTTCCCTCCAAGCCCTCATTATCCAACGCTGTCTGCCACTGAGTATGATCTACGTGGACAATGAAGGCTTGGTTTAAGGTGGTTGAAAGAAAATGCCTTTTTTTTTTTATTAGAGTAGTGTTGCTAATTTACCAGATGAAGTTATACACTCATTTGCATGTTGGCAACGTCATTCTGCATTGATTTGCATAAAGCTTACAGGTTGTGTCAGTTACAACAAGGGAAAGTCTGCTTGTGCAGGAAGCAATTCATCTGAGCCGCATACCATCTGTATTCCAATTTAATATTTAAAAATCTTTCTTGTCCAATGCTTTTTATCTTTCACTTAAAGGGAGGGTAGGTAATTCACTTCAGAAACACTTTCTGTTATATTCCATGGAATGCTCTTAACATCCAGATAGCAATGAATAAATTAAATGCTTTGACAATAAATACATTAAAAAAAATTCATCTGTGGAAGCCTTAGCGCTGTAAAAAGCACAACCAATCATCTGAGCCGGCCCGGCTAAAGTAACTGGACGGCCTACCTGCCTGTCAGCCTTCCATCTGTGCACAAACTTATCTCGTGCCCTCATTGGTCATGTGCGCGTTCGTGTGTGTTGGAGGAGGGGCTCTGTAAGGAAGTCTGAAGGAAGGGGCAGATTTTTTTCGGCTGTGTACTTTCAAATTCTAGCGCACTCGAGCTGGTTTCTTCATTCTTACCTACCATACCTTTAACTAAAGTGAGTGCACTTCCTTTACCACCACAAGATGGCACCAGAGAATTACAATTGTTCCTCCACATGCCCTTATTTTCTCCTTTCTCCTGTAATGCTTTAAACAACTGCCAACTCAACGACTCTCATCTGATTGAATCAATATGAGAGGACGGTTACACGGGTGAAGGATAACAGGAGCAAACAGCTCAAGAGGAAACAGTCAAACCCAGTGTAGCAAAAGGATTGACACATAAAGCAAGGTAGAAAATATACAAACAGTGTTCACAACTACTGTCTTCCCAACAGCAGTGTGTCTGTAGACCAGAAACAAACACAACAAAGTGATAAACAGAGACAAAGGTACAAAGTGCTAACCTGTCACATGGGAGTAGATACTTTAAAATGTCACATGACCCCAAGTTATACGGTCATATAGAATAGCTGGGAGTGAAACCCAGACATTACATTACATGTTACTGTGGACAATCCCCACAGGAGCAATTTGGGGTGAAGTGTCTCAGGGACACAACGACATGCTGACTGCAGTGGGGTTTGAACCTGTG